TGGGTCATTTGTGTCAACTTGTAAACAGTCTTTTGGCTCATGATTCTTTTCTGTTGTTAATATGGATTAAAGTGATTTTAGTAGTACAGTACTATAATGTTGAAAGATAATTAGAATGTCCTAGTTTCAGGAGCATAGAAATTATTATGTTAAGCCAAAGCCATGTTCAAAGCAAAGTTTCGACAATAACCTACACCAGTTGCTTAAGAGAAAGGTGCAAAAAACCTATGCAGCACAACAATGGATAAATGGGGAAACTTCTTGTTATATCCATTGGCTAGGCAATTGAATGCCCTCAAGTACAATACACAAAATTCTTATTTGATCAACACTTGTACTTATACTTTAGGAAAAAAAAAAAAAAAAGAAAAAAATGGTATGAATCACTGCCTTGTCTGTATATCATAGAATCACCAATGTAAGAAAAGACCTCCAAGTTATTCCACCTTCTCCTGCAAAGCTCTTGATGCTTACAACATTTTTAAAAACAACTCTGAAATACTGAGTAGTTGTAAATCTCTTTTGATTATTGAAGAGATTCTTCCTTCTGTGTTACTGGGACCTGTTACCTACTTTTAGCTCGTACAGAGGCAATATGGGGCATTCTACTAATGTGATTTTGAGAAGGCATCCTACAATATAGGCTTTGGATCAATGCAAATGAAGTTCTAATGCTGCAGTCTCAAATCCCAATGCCTGTCATGAGTCTGTTTTGCAAAATCACCTTGTTTATGTATGTTAAATTGCTGTTCATCATAATTAATACATAAGAAATACCATACAACCCATAGCACATGCCAATAAAAAATGCTACCTGAAAGAACTAAGTGAAAATCTCACTGCTTTGTCTACTCGTTTAGGGCATGCATTCTATCTGGATGGATAACTAAATCCACAATAACCTGATCCAAATGATTCCAATTCTGTGTTGATTGTTTGGTGCTTTTTTTTTTTTTTCAAGTGCATGTTTCATTTTCCTGATAGATTGCTTTCAGTTCTTTTTAGATTTTTATGAGTGGTACTTGAAAAGAAAAACACAAAGGAAATGTCTGGAAACCAATTCAGCAAGTTGGTTTCTGTGCTTATGTCTAAACTATTAGATGAAGTGTTAGATAGACTGATACTGATGTTGAGTGTATACACTCTCCATAAGGAAATACAAAAGGTAAAAAAAAAAAGTCACGATTTACAAAACCAATATAAGAAATGACATAGGCAATAGGGCAACAATGTGAAGAAATATGGCCAAATTATAATGGTGAGGAGTAAAATTATTCAGAGAAAATCTGCTGTAATCTGCTGTGTGAGTTTATTCAGCCGTGTACCAAGAGGACAATGTGAGATGTGAGTTTTATTGAAAACATCACGTTTGTTGATGTGAAAGAACCTTTGCTGAACCTACTGAAAGTAAGCACCTCTTATAGGAGAGAAAGTAAGACTTAGAAATAGTGAACTTCCCTCCCTAGCTTCCTCCCAGGTGTAACTGGGATCACAGCTGCAATGTCTACCAACTTCTAGTAAAATCTAGAAAAACTGAAGTTGCAAACATGCAAGAAAAGTTAAAAACACATTGCAGTTATTACAAGCCAGACAGTTTTGTGGATAGGCTGGTTTTGAATTCACTCACTATCACTGAGCAAAGAGCAAACAGAAATTATTGTTCACTGTTGGCAGACAGGCTGTCTGACCTATGTAGAACAAATATATTTGCTCTTCATGACTTCTGACATATTGATCTTCTGAAGCCATGGAGCCACTTGACAGCATCTTTCAAGATGGGTGTTTATGGGATCCAGGAGTTCTTGCAATAGATAGGCTCTTGGAGGACTTCTAGTTCAGATTTCAGTTAGCGTCTTTCTGACTGTGAATAGAATATGGGAATATAATAACAAATTCCTCTGATTCTTAAAGAGCTGGGCTTCTGCTGAGGTCTTAAAGGTTGTGCTGGAAGTCCAGAAAATACAGAAAAAAAGCATAAAAGGAGTTCAGCTCCTTCCTAATCTCCAGATGGTTTTTGTACAAACATAGTTACGTGTACGTAATGCTTCAATCTAAAAAGCTTAGAGATACAGAAATTGATTTGCAAGAGTAAAGAAAATCATAATTTTAGGTATAAGTGTGCCTTGTCATCTAGGAGGTCGGAAGCTTTATAGAATATATCTCTTCATTCAGTTATTCAACTTCTGTCACAGCTGACATTTGTGTGAAATAAAGAAAGCAAACATTAGAAGAAATCTGTGCCAGCCAACAAGGAGACTTAGCAAGAGCATAGAAACGATATTCAGGTGCAAGAAACGATATTCAGGTGAAACCAGAAAGTGAGTGTGTTTTATCTGCAGTTTATAACTTCTCTGTGAATAGGTATCAGGATAACAATAAAGAAAAAAAAACCCACAACAGTTTAGTTTTAGAAATGTGGAGTCCTTTCACGTTATTCAGTGTATAGCATGTGAAAGAGAATCTTCAGAGGGAATTACAGCATAATGTTTCAATTTGGTTTTGAAATGCCATTCATATGGAGATATTATTGTCTCTAAAACTCTATGAATCTGTATAAACTCTTCTGAAATGTGACATCTTGTTCCTGTTGAGACTATACAAGTATGCTAAAAAATGGGAATAAGGTGGGTTTTTTTTTCTTTCTATATGGCTTCTGCAAAAAACAAAAGAAGAGAAAACAAAACAAAAAAAAACCCTATAAATAATAAGAAAATCCTTCAGCAGTGGTATGAATTTGGTCTGTTGTAAGACTTTTCTTGAAAAGTCATTTGTGGACTTGAAAAGATAGCTGAATGATTTCTAAATATAAGGAGTTGTGGCTATATCACTTCCAGAAAGTTTGTAATCCACAATCCTTTCTTTTTGATTCTATTTCTTTTTCCAAAGCTTTAAGAAAACCTATTGGTAGTTGAATTTTGTAATTGTTAAGTCCCCCGATTAATTAGGCATGCAATATAAAGGAGTACAACACAAAAGTAAATGTGTGGGATGCTGATGAGATCGTGGTTTTACCACAGTCATTTTATTTAATTCTCAGTGAGTCAGAAGTTTGTGGAGGTGACGAATTCTTTTCTTCATTAGGTCAAGAAAAAAATGCTGGGATTCTGTATGGGAACTGTTGAGTCATGGCCTGAACCACTGATTGATCACCTGAGGCAAGGACTGAGTCAGCCATGGGAGCACAGGTGAAGGCAATTCACCTTTGTGACCAGAAGGGGTGGAGCCTGTCTCCACCTCTCTTAGACCTCATTTAAGGGCTGACTGCCCGTCTTGAGGGATATGGCTTAGCGAGAACTGTTGATGGTAGGTGGACAGTTGGACTGGACGTAGGTCTTTTCCAACCTTGGTGATTCTATTGTTCTATGATTTAGAGAACTTAAGCTGGTATTTAAGTGGGATGTCTTCATGGGCTTTTTAGTCTCCTCTTACAGAGAAAAAATTGATCGTGATCATGGGATGCCAGAATTTTCTCCAGCTGCTGAGCTCTCTCCAAATGGGAAAGAAACAAAATGGCTGACACAGAAGCCTAGGTTGGATTGTGCAGCCCATTTTCTGCTTTAGGCCAAGGATAGCAGAGGGAGTCTATTGCCCCATAAAAGCCAGAAAGACTGCAAGAAAGGAAACATCCTTGCCACATTTCAATGCTAGCATGAAGTTTTGCTCTGTCATTTACTTTTGTGGTACCTAATATGAACCTATAAGTAATCTCACAAAATCAATAGACTAATTGCAATGAAAAGTGCTACCCAATGGGAATAGTGATTGGCAGAATTTTGCCCTTAGAATTCAATTAAAGTTATTTACCAGATTGCTGTTTTCAGCATCTTTCTTATGAACCAATTTCAGGAAACAATTGCAATTACATATCTGTCAAAAAGTGTGATTTTCAGAACAGTAAATAACAACAGTTCATGTGCACTCCTTTACACACTTGTAGGAATTAATTCAGCAACATAAGCTGGAAAGGATGGGATCCAACAAACTACCCATGCCAAGACAGGGAGCAATGTGCAATGCTCGCCTACATGGCCCTTAATATCTAGTAATGTTTTGATAATTTATGACCCACCTGATAAAAGCTGCTTTACTTGTCTCAGATGAATAATATCTACCTTTGCACCAAAAGCCTTTCCTAGCTAATTAAACTGGTTTCTTCAGTAGAATTTCCTGGCCATTTTGTCACATCCATTCAATACAACACGCAAGTGGAAAACTCATTTAAGTAACTCATGATTATGGAATCTAAGTGAAATTATTTAAAATGAATATGTGTTTAAAGAAGTGATTAAATACTGGAATTGTTCAATGAAAATTCCATATGCCGAATGGTGAGATATAATAGCTATCTGATCTGTTAAAAGGAAAAACCTTTTAAACTAATCGATCTTCTGCACAACAATTTATGTCAGTGCCTTTTAAGATGATCCCTTCTTAAATGGGTAGCTGACAAAGAAATATATCTGATACAACTGCTAACGGAATAGATTTGCAGTGTGCTAAGGCAATACATTTAGGAGGTCTTTTATGTATTTTGAGAAGAGGTTAAAAATCCTGGCAGCTCTTAAAAAACAGATTCTTAAGTGGTGTACTTTTTGTGCCATAAGATTATGACTGAATTGGATAGTAACATTATAGAAAAAAAACTTTTCTTCCTTTTCTTCTCAAGACTTTAGCTTCAAAGGAACTTAGTAAATATGTTTGGCTTTGTTTTTCCTCTGAATAAAAAAAAATAAGCACATTTTTAAAAGGGACAGACTGTCTACTGCAGTTTTACAAAGTCTGGAAGCATTTCTTCATGCCCACTCACACATCCGGCCCATCGTGGTCATGTCCAAATCGTCTAGTCTCTGGCTGGCCTCCAGGACAGACTGATGAAGGTTTTGTTTGTATGATTTTCTTTGGCATTCTATCATCTGTCCATGTAAAAAAAAAGTACTGAAAGATATCGGAACTTACCATTTTTTTTTTGTCCTTTAGGTAAAAAAGAAGTGATATCCTCATCATTTCATCAAGAGCATTTTAATCAATAACATTTTGCAAAGTTTGTCTCTTAAAAATATTAGACTGATGCATCCACTGTCTCCGTAATCTCTCTCTTATGCTAGCTATCATGAAGAATGCTCTGAGATGGGAAAATGGCTAGAATTTTTCATTATAATGTTTGCGGACAGTGATTGGTAAAAGGCGGGGAGTCTTGTATCACTTGTTCCTGCGTATTCTGGTACATATGCTGCAGTGTGTGTACCATTGAAGCAGGAAATTCTTGTCCTGAAGAAAAGGAGGAAAAAAAAAAGCATTGTCAGAATTTGCTTCACTGTCTGCCTCCGGAAATAAGCACTAAAGCATGACCCCTTGTTGGGGGCAGGCTGCAAAATGCTGGGCTCACAGAGGCAGGCATATTTACCTAGAGGAAAATCCTAGTGAGGATCTATACTTCTCTGCTGTAAAAAATGAGCCAAGGCATGCCTATAACTCAAAGTATATCTCTGTACTTAATGAGAAACCACATGCTGCTCACCAGTATGTCTCCATCCAAGTCTGTGCGCATCATCTTTCTAAAATCAAAGAACAGTTGAGATTTAATGTTCACCGGTAAATTTCCACTCTACTCCCTGTAGGAGAATGCTTCCGATTCGCAGACATCTTTATGTACCTATAACTCTTTATTTTTCGTGTCACTATATTGCCTATGAGGCCTCGTCATAGGGGTGGGCAGCCATCTAAATAAGGTGAGCATGCAAGACTAATAGATGATTTTCTAATCTCAGTGTAAGACAGGCTAGAATATAGAAATAAATAAAACTGAATGGGAGAATATGAAAAAGCAATGGGATAATATTGATTAACTTGGTATGTAGTACATCTTGGTGTACCTACAGACAATGAAAAACAAAGTCATTTCAAGAAAGGAGAGGTCTGAGGGACATTCTGGAGGAGGAGTAGTAATTTTTTCTTATGTTTATGGGGTTTTCCTGCAAAGAGGGAGTGAAAGTATGGGAGAAAGCATGAAAGTGCCAACGTGAAAAATGAACATTTTAAAAATGGAGTTGAGCAGGATGATCCAGTTGGAGGCCGGGATACAGCATGACATTGGAGGAGGAAGCAAGAAGTTTATCTTTGATACAGGAGCAGAAGAAGGAGGAGTGCTGTGAGCAAGACAGAGGATTAAGAGCAAATTTCTGCTGGGTGATTGATAATGCAAAGAGAAAGGTATTGCAGAAATCAAAAATCCTGATGACAAGAGCATGGGCTGGGCTCTATCTGCATTGATATTTGTGATACTTTTGCACAATAGATATCCTGAGCACAGAAAACTTGCAATATTTTACTTGAGAAGAGCTAGAAATTGGCAAAATGGCAGCATGGTGGCATCATCTACAGCATTCACAGAGAAGAAACCTTTTCATACTGATAAAACATATGTCCAGGTTGCCTGAGTCCAACAAGTATTACATCTTAATAAAAAATAGTGAAGGGACATAATGTGTGGTTAATGAAGTAAATGCCAAATGAAGCTGTCAGCTAGCAAAGTGAGAAGAACATGTCTTTTTCTGAGGTATACCGTCGTGATCAGGGGGTGTGTTTGTCGTTGAACGACTGAGTTAGCAGATAACATAAAACTTAAAGGCACAATATTTGCTGATCATCTGGTTTACTGCAAGATTTCTGTACATTTGACCCAATTGGGTCCCAGTGTCATGGGGACAGGACATATGTAAGTATTCAGAAGGTACAGGTGATTGTTTCTGTTTCCTATGTGGCTGTGATCCTTCCAAGTCTAGATGTGACCTTGACCCAGTGTCATTGTTTGGGGGCTGAGCAGATGATGCAGCTTTTACATGTTTGAAGTGACTTGCTAATGTTACAAGGATTGAGAGGATGAAGGTCAAGTCCGTAGTTATCCCATGCCATATTAAACATGCATGAAACTCAAAAAGAGAAACTGAAGGACAAAGATGCAAGAGCAAATTGGATGCTCCACAGAAAGAAATTAATAGAATGATGTAAAGATGGCTTCTATGGTCACTATAAATGTGATAGAGAAAAGCATTGTAGATACTGAGGTACAAGATAGACTGTGTTCTAGTGAAAAGTTAATGTTATTCTTCAAAGTGAAAGTCATCTCTGATAAAATTCCTCACATATGCAGTCTATTTTATAAGAGCAGTGAAGCTGGTGAAGGGAGAGTCAAGTAAACATCACACTAAGGGACACAGTTGAGTGAAGGACTCAGTAGGGCAGGTTGATGGTTGTGCCTAGGAACCTTGAAGGTCTTTTCCAATAATCTAGATGATTCTATGATTGTATGGTGTCACCTCAGGTAAAAGAACATCTCCTTCCCTGGCCACCCAGCACGCCACTGCTGAAACTAATCTTTTGCTGCCACCTTTGGAAGCTCTAATGCAAAAATATGGTTAGAAATCAGCGAAAGAGGATTCTTCTTATATTTGTTATGCAGAACCTAGTGTGTGCCAAGTCTGTATGGATGCATGTAGACGTGTGAATGTTCCCACGTGTGCAGTCAGTGGGACCCAATGTGCAGGAGGACAGTGTACCTGCCTACCCCCATCATCTCGTTGTGCTGTGGACTGCATCTCAGAGCAGGTTTGGTGGTGAGCTCACAGTCTCTATCTCTTCACAGCAGCCAGACTGAAAAGCCCACGCATGAATATTTAAACAAAAGGCATTAACAAACCTGCCTGGAAATGTAACAAGAATGTCTTTTGGAAGAAAATATGCTACCAAAATGATGGATAGCCACATTTTTCACCTCTTCAATTCTAAGTGCTCTTGATGTTAATTTGTAAATTATGATTTCTAATGAAAATAATACTTTATGCACTAAGGATGTTATTATATTTTCTTAATCTCCTTTATAGAAGACCTTTTGTTGCTCAGCCTGTTCTTATTTAAAAGCTAAGGCTTGTTTAGTATTTCAGTGCCTGTCGCCAGCTTGCTGACAAAAGCAAAGGCTATGAAATTGCTAGACCCTTCTTTATAATATATTCTGTTTATCATCATTTCTTTTTCATTATGGTGGTGTTATTTTCACTGCTATACTGAAGGTGCTGTCAAAATTTTCATTATAAATATTGTTTCTGAGAGGTTTGTAAGTCTAAGGGCTCTGTATTAAAATTTTCTCAGCTGAAATTTGGCATGCAAGCCTCAGTGAGGAAATGTTTTCTTTACGTGCAGTTTAAATTGCCTTAGTCATCCTTTTGAAAAGAAATTTGCATGTAAGTATCAGAAGCCACACATATAGAACACTCTCATATATTTAAATAACAAGAAAATAAACATCTATTTATACAAACTGTTTCTGCATTTCAATAGATACCAGTCTACTACCTCTAAAAGATACAGTAGAAAAATCCGTGATGAAAAACACTTACTCTATAAATATACACTGGCAATTTTATGACTTCTAGGTCACTACTGTAGATTTATAAGGTAATGAGTAAAGATGCTGTATTCAGTGTTTGACAGAGATGCCATGCAAAAAGGTAAAAGTTAGTAATGGAGAAATAGATATATCATCGTACCAGCACAGGACAGGCATTTGTTTTTGAAGGGATTCCGTTGACATAAGCAAGAGCAATCTTTTAGTGATCTCTTATTTCATCAGACATTCAAGATGCCTAGTCGGAGTTTCTCTACATTTTAATTTATAGAGCCTAATTTGTTCCGTCGTTTTTTCTACTCTCACTGACTTTTTAGGGATGGTACACCTGTCTGAAGCTTATTCCTGTTATAATACCTTGTTATAGACACTTTCCACTCACCTCAAGATGCATACTACTTTTCCTCCCTTACATTTCAATCTGTTCACAATGGCAGAGCAAATAAATAAATAAATAAAATAAAAAAAATCTAATAGAAAATAACAGAAGTTATATTTTTAATTAAAAATGTGTAAAATATGAAAAGCAAATAAGTGTAGGATGTGCATCAGACAGTACTCAGACTAGCTGTGCAACACAGATGATTCTCTTGCCTTGATTTACAGTATGATGCCAGTTTTGTACAATAATTAAGGCACAGTAAGTGGATTGAACAGGAATGAATTTTTCCACAGCTTTTTATCCTTCCTCTGTCCCTTGCCGAGCTCCACGTGAAGCTCTCAGGGCATCTGCCTGCATTAAGTGCTCTGTCTGCCTCCAGCCTATTGTTCTAAATACAGACCACCGAGGATCCATCCAGAGCGGCACTGTGCTATCACCTTCTGAGAAAAGACAGCAGGAAAAGGTTCTAAACATATGCTTACAATCTTTGTCTCAGAGCAAAAAGGTAGTTGAAATTCAGTGGAATAATGGCTTGCTTAGCCTGCTGCTGTCCCTTGGTGCCAGTCACTGCCATGTGCATGTGGCACAGAGTAGCTTGCTCGTTTGAGCGACGCGCGCTCTGCGTTTCTTCTGATGTGAGCTCTGCCAAAGCTGTGTTCCCCATTGTCTGTTAGAGACCTCCAGAAATCTTCGTAAACTTATTTCTAAAGGTTTGACAGTGTGGAGGTTTTTTTAATATGATTTTTTTTTTTTTTTTCCTGTTTTAATAACGATTACAACTCCTGTAACTTTGGAAACTAAGAAGTTTCAATGGCTTGAAGCATATGCAATATCTTAGCTGAGTACTACCAGTATATATATCTATATGTCTGTGTGCCTAATTTTAAAAGAAAAAAAAAAAAAAGTCTTATTAAAGAAAATATCCCTGGCAATTTATGTAAGATGTTATGTTTGTTGACAGAGGTAGATGGGAATATGACAATACGTGGCAGGATTGAGACTACTACATCTCTCTGTGGCTCATCCCCCTTGTATTCCTCTAGCCTCCAGAAAAGCCCAGTAGCTGGAAGGTTAGAGCTCTAGCAATTCACAAGAGCATTTATATGAGTGAATTTTTTCATTTTCTTTTCCGAGAGGAATGCAAAAAAATCTCAGATAAGTACTGTGGAGTCATCTCTAGGAATGAGATTCTGCTGATATATCAACCTAAATCTGTTTTGTTAACTTTACTCTTGAATGGTTAAAAATCTTCAAATTTTGAGTTCTACTGATTTATGAATACTTTACTCCATTTATTTTATTCCTGTGCCAATGCTGTCTTTAAGTTAAACATCACTTCTTCCTCCCCATATTTGAGCTCCATGTTGTATTCAGAAAGGAAATCATGTCTCCTCTAGGTCTTTCAACAATGTTTAATTCTCCTATTTTGTTACCAGTGGGTGCACTTTGAATGGAATTACATTGAACTCATCCCTTCTTTCCAAGCATTAGCTTAAGAGTTGGCTTTCTGTCACCTGTCACACAAGGAGCAATCACAGGAGCGATAGACATTGCACTGATTTCTCTCATTGTTCACCTTATTTTGCCCATCCCTCTGGCACCCAGGGATAAACAGCAACTCCTGAAACAGCTGAGAAGAACTGCAACACAGAGGAAAAAAAAATGAATAAGCATACATTCAGCTACCTTTGTGTTAACCTCAGTAATCCCACGGAGTTTTGCAAAAAATATTTTCATGTGTCCTGCTACTAATTACAGTAGAATAGCACCCAAACTTTTTTGTTACGTACAGTTTCTATTAGGAAGTCAAGACCTTCATTTGAATGTTCCTTTGAGAAAATATCAGTGATGGCCAACATGTTCTTGTAGTGGGAGGTTCATCAGAGAGACAGAGAGCATTGTATCTTACTTGTTTAGTCTACTACAGGACTGACATCAATAACCCTGTTTCCCTGTGCAGATTGCCATTTCCTTCTTATGACACTTTGTGGAGGTTGCATTACTCATTCTCTGAAAGACGCAGGTGCAGTAGGTTCGATGCCAGTGAGTTCAATGCCATGCAATAAAATCAAGGCAAGGCAACCAATCAATTTTGGATGAAACACTACAACCCCTCCAAGAAAAATAAAATCCAGAATTAATTTACTCAGTTGTCATCACTATCAATTATATATGTAGCATGTTTAATAGTAATTGCTGCTGTGAATATACTAGGCTTCCTTTTCTTCACAGAGCAACATATAAAAATAGAAGTGAGAGACTGAATTGTTGATCTGTGTACTGATACTGTATAACTTTACTGGATCAGAAATAAAGTATTCGGAAGTTAGAAATTCAAATCCAAAAGAAACATTTCCCATGCTCCATTGCTTGACTGTTAGAGGGATGCTTTCATAGTACAACTCTGATTTCAATAGAATGATGCAAGCCTGGATTCAGAGCTCAAGTTCAGATCCAGGCCTTTGGCTTGAGACCATCTCTTAAAAGTAAAAATGAAGCGGCTCCAAAATATACAACCTCTGTTTCTGCCACGTGAATTAAAACAGGACAAAATCCTTCCCTAATGACCCTGACCCAGGCTAAATGCATGCCTGCTAAAATGCTGCTTTACCATTTGGGGAAATTTATGGCAGTGTAAGTACTGAACAGTTGGTCACAGCACTTGCACTCAGGGATTGCCTAATGAGTTTGTAATCATTTTTATTTTTTTTTGCTTTCAAGATTTTCATGCCTGTGGGGTGGTATGGTGTTTGTGGGGAGGAGAAGCCTTGCAGCAAAGGAACATCCACTGTGCAGGGGCTCTGGCTGGTACCCTGTGGGAAAGAAAGTCAGGACAGCAGGGCATGTTCTCCTGCTGCTACCACTCTCATAGTTCATGCTCAGACTGTATGCCATGAAACTAGCTTTAATTTTCAGTTTTGAAAAATGCCCTAAGTGCAGGGATAAATATATCCAGTTTAAAGTACGCATAAATATGCAATTGGGCAGAAGAAAAGAATATTTAAAGTGGGATGTTCAGAGATTGTGTGGGTGTCACTTGTTCTTTGAGAGTCCTGACTTACCTGAACTGCTGCAAATATATTCCAAACACTTGGAAAACAGCATAAACTTATTGAAAGAACATTCTGTAGAAAGGTGACCTGAAAAGTAAACTATTGCCACAGGCAAATGCATGATATCAGATGCTCCTCAGGGACAGGAGTCTGATTCTTCCCTACCTTTGGCTGGTTTTACACCAAAGCATCTCTGCATATCCTACTGGTATTGTGATCTAGAATGGAGAAGTACAGCAAAGCCAGTATCCCTCAATAAGAAGGATGTTTGTAAATCAGCTTTTCTGATTGACTAACAATAGGGAATTTGACATTACAATTTTCTTATGAAAGCATTCTCTTTTTTTTTTTTTTTTTTTCCTTTGAGGAGATGAAAACAGTAAGAGATGAGGGTTTTGTTCTTTTAAAAAACAAAACAAAACAAAACTAAATTTCATGTCTTTGAGACTCCTCTCCATTAGATATACTATGGCCATGTGCATTTCCATGACACAATAATAGCGCTCATCACGATGCCAGGATATAATTTTTACATTACAAAGTACAACACAAATATGACTGCTTTTTTATGAAATTTGTGCAAGACAAGCTCCTTAGAGAAACCAATGCAAACTTGTTAAAATATTCCATGGCTGCCAAATTTGATTACTTCCCCATCCTGACAAAAAATTTCCTGTCAAAGAAATTTCACCCAGCTGTCAACAGATGTCCAATTTCATGCAGAGAAGGAAGAACCTAAACATAAAAAGAGAGAGAAAAAAAAAAAAAAAAAAAAGCATATCCAAATTCACATCAGCTTGAATCCTACAGGAAGAAGGAGGAAAAGAAATGTTTCAAATCATATTCACAGTTGCATAAAGACTGACAGTGCTACGAATGTAACATCACAGACAGCACAGGCTGAGTGCTGAGTGTGGGTCCCAGCTTCAGGGTTACAGATTGCACCTTTTCCATACTGGCCAACCACAGGTATTATCTAGCAGTATCCATTCCCTTTTTTGGCCACATAGTCAGGGAGGTTGATCATATCCTGAAGTGCATTCAGCACAGCATTACCAGCCAGTTGAGAAAAGTGGTCGTCCCACTTTTCAGTGCATGGGTGCAGCATTACCTCAAGAACTGGGTGCAGTTTGGCACAGTAGAAAAGGACATAAAACTATTGGAGAGTTCTCAAGGAGGGCTGCAAAGATGGGGAAGGTTCTGGATGGGAATACATACAAGGAGCGTCTGATGTCCTTCGGTTTGTTTGATCCAGAGCAGAGGGAGCTGAGGGGAAGCCTCATGGAGGCCCATGGCTCCAAACAGGGAGCAGAGGCACAGCACTGAGCTCTGCTCTCTGGTGACGGTCTATGGTTTAGAGCACATCCAAAAGTCCTCTTAAATGATCATGCAGCACATGTTGCATTTCACTGATGCCTGTATCAGAGTAAAACTCAAGCTCTACAGGGCTAATGGATAGAAATTTGGAGGATGTGCCATGAGCTTTAGGTCACAATTTTAAAGAACATCTCTGAGATCTTGCTGAGATTGACCTCCTTGTGCCAGCCAAGGAGAGTGAGAGAAGATGGCTCAGAGAGTGCCAAATCTTCAACTGGGACATACAGAACCCCTGTGAAGAAGCTGCTATTATCTCCACAGTTACAGATGAGGAATTAATTTAGGTATGACATTTTTTCATTTACTCAACACATTAATTTCAAGTACAAAAGCAGAATCAGCTGCTGTCAGTCCTCTGCTAGAAAGCAACACAAAGACAAATCTCTGAGAAAATATCCCACGGGAAGAACTCTGCCGTGGACGTTTCTACACTTCAGAGGTGACTTCCTCAATGGCAGCAATATATCCTTAGAGCCCCAACGGTGAAGGTGGGGAAGGCAGTCAGCATATTAGTAATTTACAGCTTCTTCTGCAATATCCTGCCCTAGACCAGTCTGTGACCTCTCAGGTCTGTCTTTTGGTGGCATTTGTCATAATAGGTTGAAGGATTTTGACACGCCCAAAAAAGAAAAATAATAGAGAGACAGAGAGCTTATGAGAAGAGTAATCCAGAAGGCATACTGGGTTGATGGAAGCTGAAAACCAGATTAATACAATTTATTACTACAAAAAATGTTGTGCTTAGTATAATTGTTAACTGTGATCTAAGCTGAAAACTAGTTACAAGCTCTTGAGACTACCACATGTAATACACTTTTGACAGGCATTACCATCATGGTGTCCTGACCTCTGCCAGACCTAGAAAATAATTCAATATTAAGAATGTGAATTAACATAATAGGATGTGAATTGGGGAAGAAATGTTCCACCCAGGCTTGCAGAGTGGTCCATCCCTCATTCTATGGCATAAAGGCTCTCCCATCATGGCAGCCACAAAGGCGGGCATCCACGTCAGCTTACTGGTTATTTGGTGGTTTTCTAACAAAAAGAAATGTAACATGCTTTTCTACTCCTGCCTTGTCAGATAGTCTCCATTTAATGTATTTTCTCATTCTTTCACTTTTGATCAAAAACACTTCCAGCTACTGCTGAGCTAACTAAGTAGAAGCCTTTGTCCACACTTCTTCCTGGCTTTGCTATATAAGACCTTCCTAGATAATGCTGCTGTTACTTCTGTGCTTCAGAGTTAATTATTGAGACCAAGTCGTCTAGTGCAATCGGTTTGTTACAGCATTTTCCCTCATTTCCAATGACAAGTGGAAAGATGCTGTGATTCTCAATTCTGATTTGTGGCTTTGTTGTTATTTTTTAAATTTACAACTAATATCTGTGTCAACTTTCTGTCATTTTAAAGCCTTGACAACAAGATGGACACAATTACCACTTTTGTGTCCTCACAGCAAGTGAGGCAAAATATTTCATGATAGCCACAGAGCTATCATATGATCAAGCTCACTGTGTCCTTTTCCTTGAAGTCTAATTGCATCCTACCAGCAGGATCCTCCCTCCTCATTGATTACCTCCCTCCTTTTATTTCGCACTGATTTATTTCTCCCATTCTCAGCTGTAATTAATAGGGATTTCTGATATTTTTTTCCAGACATTCAGAAGCTCCTTGACATGCAGTGAGACAACCATGATGCATCCACTGTCGTACAGAGAGATAATGGCCCCAGTGGTATAACTTCCAGCAGTTGCTTGCAGCTGAACTTCTTTAGCCTTTCTATTAACCTTCTGTGTATGTGTGTGCTGTGTATGCATTTTTAAAGCACTTCTAGAGAAAGCTTTTTTTTTCCTTTTTAAACAAACAACAGGTCAATTAAATTCTTTTGCACTCTGCAGCTGTGATCTTCTTATCTCTCACAGAATGGGAATCATTTCTCTCCCATGATGGGTTCCTTTTCTTCCGTTTGTTGAAAAAAATTATACTAACAGTGTTGCCCTTTTTCTTCTGCTTTGACTTTTGGCAGTGGAACAGTGGAAACTGATGCTCTCTATCTCTAAATGCAATAGCAGGTGCAAGAGCTTGTTTCAGCGTATGAGTGCTGCTCTGAAAGTAATAAATTTTATTTTGTTATGTTGGCACATGTAAACATCCATCAAAGAAAATATTTTCAGTTCTTTCTAATAAACATTACTGAAGAAACAGC